CTTGACCTTGGTTTTAGGCACTGCCTGCTCAGTATCAGAACCAGGTCATTATTCCACGGCTCTGTCTCTTTCAAAAGATCAGCCTGGTGACATACAGTACAGCATTTCACTGGTTCGACCTCTTCTGCTCTTCGTGTCTCAACTATTTTATGCATCTTTATCGTCATCTTTATGGTGAGCAGGTTCCACCTGCCTCCTCCTCCTCCTCTGCAACAGTATGAAATTTTTTGGTGCTACGTTCGCCATTACCTGTCCCTTTGTCGTTGTTCCTTGGATTCCGAGCATATGGGGCTCTCCTTTCTTGACTTTTTCTTGATCGGCATCTTATGCTGAATGCTGTCACCTCATATAATGCGGTGCTGACAGAGCCACTGTAGCTTGCACCACACACTGTAGCTTGCGTTCGGTGTTGATACTACCTCAGCAGTTTCACAGGCTGTCTTGTGCATTGTTTCACCCCCAGCCCACTTGAGGTGTTTGACCCTGTTTGGTCTTTGGACTGTGTTTTACAGTGTTCCCTTTGGGATTTTTTCTGAAGCTCTCAATCTTTTTCCCTCAAGTTGTTGGGTAGGGGAGCTTCGGGCTCTCTTCTGGAGGCAGGAATTTTGTTCCTTTGATGAGCTCTGATGGGCGTTTTGTTCGGATACAGCCGGCTCCTTTTCTGGGGATGGATGTTAGCTGGTTTCCAGAGGAGTCCTTTGATTCTTGATTCTTGATTGGTTCTGCCACTACCTTCATGCCAGCAATTCTGCCTCAGTGGCTGCTTACTTGTTGGATGTTGTGTTTTTGGTTCTCTGTTCTGAGGCTCTTATTTCTGAGGGTGTCTGTAGTGTAAGGGGGCGTCTGAGGTTTATAGATGAAAGTTGTTCAATGTCAACCAATATTATTTTACTAGTTGTATATGAAAAGTGCTGAAATTGTCACAAGTTTCAGTACTGCAGCGTAAATAGAAAGGGAGATTTTTTTTTTTTTTTTTTTTTCAACGTTTTTTACACATTTTCAAGTCCACACTTCAGAACACACGTTTCAGATATAATTATTCTGTGACACTTTTCTGACACATTAGCATATAATAAAGGACTTTGATTTATAGAATTTCCAAAACATCTTTAGTTTTCCTAATACAAATGTTCAAAGTTCCCCAACATTTTTTTGCAAATATGGCATGTTTATTGCTATTATAAAATCAATAAATGAACTTGGAGAAAAATGAAAACTCTCCAATGTAGAGACATGCCCTCCACATATACTGTGTAAGTTTCATGTAAATTGAATTAAAAATGAATCAGTTTTGTAAACGTTTGTGTCAATTAAAAAAAAAACTGAAATGAATAAAGTCTAAGGTTCTAAAATCTGTGGCTGAGGTTGACATCAACCAATTTTCTTCAAAATTGGCATCCTTACAGATAGGCTTACGTACAGTCAGGTGTGTAAGTTTGATGCAAATCGCCCAAAAAAAAAAAAAAAAAAAAAAAAAATATTCTTAAAATTTTTTCCAATTAAACTAATTACAGTATAATATTTGTTTAATATATGCTATTGTGATAGCAAAGAGTTGTAGCTATAATTTCAGTTGACACTTTTGATTGATAATCGATTTTGACCATTTTTGCATAATTTTCACAACTACTTCAATATTTTTTTTCTCCCTTCCTATTTATGCTACGATACTGAAACTTGGACCAGATGAAATACTTTTCATATAGAACTTGTCAAAAAAGTTTGATTGAAATCGAACGAGTTTTCATTTATTGCATTTTTGGAACCTGACGCCCCCTTAAGTCTTGCTAGCCTGCATATACCGTCTTGCCCACGATGTTCGGAATCACATTGCTCTGGTGGCTGTGTTTGCTAGAATGTTCTAGGTTAATACTCAGGCATGGGGGAAGTTTGGCAGTCGAACAGGGTTCTGATGGCCAGGTACGTATGTTTCTGGGCCTCGGCTTCCTTCTGTGGCTTTGGGTCGGGTCTCTTTGATCTTGGTTCTTGTCTTCCTTTCATCTGCCTGTGGTTTGCATCCTCCCTGATCCCATGTTTTCTCCTCCTTGGGTAGCTTTAATTTAACCTAGCTTTAGGGAGAAACAAGGAGCTTCCCTGCAAAAAAAAAAACAAAGTTGAATGTTGTCATGTAAATCCCCTGCATAGCAGTGGAACTGCCTCTTCCACTCACCTTGTATGTCATCACTCTGACAGCCAAGATGAGTCCTTTGACCTGCCACATGCTCCACCACCCAGTACCACCCAGTGCCTGGTACGGCTCGCTGGCAGGCAGTGCCTCTGCAAACTAGCAATTACTTACCTCTACCAAACAGTTTGCCGCCTCTTACTAACAGTTATACAACCTCTACCCAGCTGTTGGGCAGTCGTTAACTAGCAGTTACTGCTCACGTTAGCACAAGATGTGACATCATCATCATTCGCAGGGGTAATAGAGCCCTGCAACTCATGGAAGCTTATGAGGTATTCATGCCCGTGCCACCTCTTGGGTGGCTTAATCTTAATCAATCATCCATGGAAGCCAGTCTCTCTCTGGTGCTCTTGGGGTCATCATTGCTTCTTTCACCTGCCATCTGCTACCAGCCTACATCATGTGTCGGATGCTGTGGTGTGGTGGATGTCTTCAGCTCACCAGTATACTATTGCATTGTATTCATATTAATAATTTCATTTGCTTGTTTTGTTGTGTTATTATAGTCAAGTGTTTGAAGGAACCATTTTCTATTAATTATTATTATAGTAAAGTTTAATATTTGTTCATCTGTTTCTTGTTTCATCCTGCCACTTACACACTGCCTGTGGTATGGGAGCCGGCCGGCCAAGTGGACAGCACGCTGGACACATGATCCTGTGGTCCCGGGTTCGATCACGGGCGCCGGCGAGAAACGATGGGCAGAGTTTCTTTCACCCTATGCTCCTGTTACCTAGCAGTAAATAGGTACCTGGGCATTAGTTAGCTGTCATGGGCTGCTTCCTGGGGTGTGTGTGTGTGTGGGGGGGGGGAAATAGTAGTAGTAGAAACAGTTGATTGACAGTTGAGAGGCAGGCTGAAAGAGCAAAGCTCAACCTACGCAAGCACAACTAGGTGAATACACTGCAAGGGCCAAAGCAGCATTATTTTATTTTATTTTGTGAGTGAAAGCCACACTACACTGTCCCAGTATACAAGAAAATTCGCTTTTGTAAACAGAGTGGTAGACGGTTGGAACAAGTTAGGTGAGAAGGTAGAGGCCAAAACCGTCAGTAATTTAAAAGCGTTATATGACAAAGAGTGCTGGGGAGACGGGACACCACGATTGTAGCTCTTATCCTGTAACTACACTTAGGTAATTATACACACACATACAGTGGTACCTTCGTTTTTGTAGTTAATCCGTTCCCAGACACGGTACAAAAACCCGAAACAAATTTTCCCATAAGCAATAATGTAAATTGAATTAAATCTGTTCCACACCCCCCAAAAATATTCACTAAAAAATTCATTTTACACGGAATACTCTTAGGTACCTTACCTTCATGGAAGACTCTTGTTGGCGTATGGAAGACAGAGAGGAGGAGAGGTGTTAGTGTTTAGAAGGGAAGTCCCCTTCTATTATAACAGCAGTGATGACATTTCTGGAGTACTCTCTCTCTCTCTCTCTCACATTTTGCAAGCATACCACTAGGACCTGGTGGTGGCTTACTGCTTGCTTATCTTGCTAAGAATCTGTCTACACACACTTGTTTTTCCTTACGTTTTAACACTTGTCTGTAGTGAGACATCACATTGTCTCACTATGAATGATCTCTTGTTTTTCCTCTTTCATCATCCTCAACTATTTTCTTATGTTGAACATTACCACTGACTTTCTTGTAACCCATGCCATGATATATAATAAGAACTTTTATGTTCAGAAACCAAAAAACCAGTGTTGAATGTAATGAAACGCCATTTTCTGGGTGAGACCCGGAGGCTTCCCGGAGCCATCCAGGCTGATATGTATATCATTAGACTTTGGCATCAGTGTGAATGGAGTTCTAGGCCTACCGGGGACCATGAGCCAGAAACTGGCCCCCTCAAAGAGGCACAAGGAGCAATAGCCTATAGAAATGCACATGGGATTTGGAGCATTCTACCACCCTGTAGTTCTGAGGCTGGATGTCAAAAACGCATGAAAAAAATGCCGACCGGAGGGAAGGAGGGTTGCCGGGGAGCCTCCGGGTCTCACCCAGAAAATGGCATTTCATTACATTCAACACTGGTTTTCTGGGGAAGCCCCTGTGGTCCCCCGGAGTTACTTCACCAAAGACGAAAACCAAAGGGACTTACCCAGGAGGCGGTCGGTGCTCGTATCTCAACTCGAAGTTGAGACAACAGGCTGCAACTGCCGATCCAAAGCGACAGGCCTGACTAGGCCCCAGGAACATTCACGAGGTAGCCCATCTATTCTTTCATTAATATCCTGCATGCTTTAATTCATCCTTGCAGGTTCATAACACTACATGCACTGTTCTGGCTAGTGCCCTCATCCACTCATGTCACAAGTGAAAGGACTCGGGTTTGCACTTTTCCCAGAGTAGAATAACTAAGAACATAAGAACATAAGAACAAAGGTAACTGCAGAAGGCCTATTGGCCCATACGAGGCAGCTCCTATTCTATAACCACCCAATCCCACTCATATACTTGTCCAACCCGTGCTTGAAACAATCGAGGGACCCCACCTCCACAATGTTTCGCGGCAATTGGTTCCACAAATCAACAACCCTGTTACTGAACCAGTATTTACCCAAGTCTTTCCTAAATCTAAACTTATCCAATTTATATCATTGTTTCCTAGTTTCAATAACTAGGCACTGTTCACCCAACAGTTTAGATATATTTTTGTTTTTGTAATGTATGCACTTAGGTATGCACTCATGTAGAAATTTCATATAAGCATTTGTGTGTGATTGTGATTTGCAGTGCTGTATTTGTGCATGTAGTTAAATAATTGTTGTGAGGGTTGTAGTTACACACTAGACGATTCTATTCAAATTTATTGAACATTCGATGAAACAGATTCCCTACACACATTTTTCTTCATCCGGTGCCGTTTTCTCATCCTTTTTCTCTCTCCTCCATTCTGTTGCTGTGGTTTTACTTTCTTGCTCTTTTTACAGGATAAAGGATTTGGATTCTTTGAAGTTTTCTTCTTCTTCTTTGGCGGCTGATTATCGTCATCTCCAATATACTTGCGCTTGAAAGACTTCAAAATGCTTTCTTCATAAGATGTCAGTGTCCTGGAAAAAGGGAAATACTGTACAGTCAGGGGGTGCAAGTAAGTAAGTAATTATATAGGTGCATACATAAGTATGCATATGTAATTACATAAGTAATTACATTGACGCTACATAGCCTCCCCGGCACCAAGACGGGAAGTCTAGGTAGTACCATCAAAAGTGCAGTATATTCAAAAGGCGCTAAATATCACTAAGGATGCCAATATGAAAACAAAAGCACACAAGGCGAATAATATGACAAAGAGTGCTGGGAAGACGGGACACCACGAGCGTAGCTCTCATCCTGTAACTACACTTAGGTAATTACATCAAAGGCATCCGATTCACCATAGGATACTATCGAGGGACAGGTGACCGCAAGGGACAGTCGGGGAAGCTATACACATGCACATCCTGTAAGTCATTCATTCAACAAGGCTATGCATGACCGTAAAAGGGACAAAGTAATTCAGACAATAAGGAGTAGGGTGGCGCTCCATTAACTCTTGGGCTGCTAAGGGCCATTTTGCCTTCAACACCCACAGACGCAACAAAAACAAAAAATTTCAAAAAATTATTTTGTCTTACAAAAAGTGTTCATTTGTGATCATGAGGAAAAAAAAATCGTAGGTGGCATATTTTGGCCACAATAGGGCGGGAAAGTCTGGCAAAAAAAACAGCGTTAAATGTAATGAAACTCCCATTTTCCTGGGTGAGCCCCTATGGCTCCCTGGAGCTTATCGGGCTAATGTATCCTATATTAGACTGGGACATTAGCTAAGGAGTTCAGACCTACCAGGGACCAGCGCCAGAACCTGGCCCCTTCAGAGAGGTTTCAGGGAGCAATGGCCCTGGAAAACCCCCTTGTGGTTGGGGTTTTCCTTATCTGCCATCGACCGGGGTCAGGCACCCAGAAAGGTAGGCATAACAAAACATAAAGGCACAAAACATAGGCATAAACCCCACATGGTAAAAAACTAAAACAAAAAACCGAACAGAGAGGTAAAAACTCCCTACAATCCCAAGGAAACAAGCAAACATCACACTTTACTGCCGTGCCGATCGTCCGCGCAGCCTTCCCCGCCCCGAGAGGGGGAGGGGAGAGCCCCAGACCTCACCTCGCCGGCTGCCTAGCTTCAGTTCGTAAGCTAATGTCAACCGGGATAGACGCTTGTCTGGCCTCAGTTTTCTAGGCGGTGTTTGCCTTGTGTTTACAATGTCTAGGTGTATTTTATCACAATTTTTATTCACTAATTGTGTTGCATATAATGTTACTTCATGTTCAATGATAATAAAAGTTGCATACATTGCGTATACACATGAACACACAAATGTTTTCAATTACACCAATATAATATGTATTCACATTTTTCATTATTATATTTACACACATGCACTATTTACAGGTTTTTGCACTATTATTGCACATTTAGAAGTCTTGGAGACAGTGGTAGTCGTTGAAACAGTCGACAGCATATAATGGGACTGCACATGCTTCACACCATGTCTGCACCAGTTTACGTTTCTGATCTCTCTTTTTTGTTGTTCTACAAACAAAGCAATCACGTTGGCCTATTGCACGCTTTCCAGCTGGTGGCAAATGTGTGCTCGAAAGCCCTCCATGTAAGTGAGCCTGGGTGTAGCAGCATGCTGCAACACTGGATTCATGATGGGTCTTTGTATGCCAGGAACATCTTTGCCAAATTTTTTAGTAACTGTGTCACAAGTGTAAAACCAAACGAACAGAAACTTGGTTTACATCCAGTTTTCACTAGATACATATTGTAGCTGTTCAGCATGTTTATGTCAACAAGATGGAAAAACACTTTTTTCGTCCACTTCAATGTTTCCTTAACACACTCGACAGTGCCCACCATCATGTCAGATTGATCAACCAAACACATGTTGATAGTATAGTCAAGAACACAATCTGGCTTATATACTTGTTCTTGCGTTACTCGCTTCACCTTGCCACTGTTCACCATTGTACCATCATGAACGGTTGTCAGCAAGTTCACTTCTCTCTTTGTCTTTCCACCTAACTGAGAGTATTTGATCACTTTTTCTTAGCTGGCAGTCACCAATTTCAAGATTATTGTCAAACACTGGCATTTCCCTTCTTCTTGGCTTTACTGTGCCAACCATTCCAGTTCTATTTTCAATCAAGAACCTAGCTAGCAAGGGACTTGTATAGTAGTTATCCCTGTATAAAATGTGGCCCTTGTTCATCCATGGTGCCATCAGTGACTTCATCACACTACCTGAGAAACCACGTTGGTTGTTACCGGGAATGTCTACATTGCTAGCAGAATACAGAATCATGTGTAACATGTATCCTGTTTCACAGTCACAAAGAACAAAGAATTTCAATCCAAATCTGTTGCGTTTGGAGGGAATATACTGCTTGAAGGCAACACGTCCTTTGAAAAGCACAAGGAATTGGTCAATCACCCACTTCTGTGCTGGTACTTGGATATCTCTTGTACTTTCCAATCACTTCCATTCATATAGTGCCTGACTCTCCGAAGTCTATCATCCTTTGTTTGTCACAATACTACTTGTTAAAAATTCACTAAAATTACAATATGTACAGTTTCACACACTATTTACACAGTAACACACTGTATTACACACTGCAACCTTACCTTCAACAGGAGAAACAGCTTTTGTCAGCACAGATGGAGGAAGTTACACAGGGAATAGAACAGTGCAAGAAAGATATGCAACTCACTTATGCACAAGTGGCCAAGGAGAAGGAAAAAATAGAAGAAGCAGTAAAGGAAGTCAAACACTGCAGCAACCAAGATAAAACAAACATTAGGCTAGAAGTGAGGAAAGAATTGGCATCTAACCCGAAGTTGGTGCAAAACACAGTTGATCGGAGTAAGTCCCTGATCATTTTTGGCTGCAAAGAAAAGGCGATAACATCTAGGTCAGAAAGAGCTGTAGAAGAAGCTAAAGTAGTAGATAAAATTGTTGGCCTCGTGGAAGGTCTTACAAACAGAGAGAATGTGTGCGACTACAGGAGAATAGGCAGGTACGTAAAAGGGAAAGATCGACCTTTGAGGATCACCCTAAACGGTGCCAAACAGATGGAAGAAGTACTAAGGAATGCTAGAAAATTGCAAAGGGATGAGGATGGGAAAGGGTGGTCGTTAAGACGAGATCTTTCAAAAGAAGATAGAGAGAAGCTGAAACTGAACCTCGCCGAGGCAAAACATTTAAATGAGAGCAGGAATGAAGAAGAAATAAATTCTTTTTTCTACAAAGTGATAGGGGTAGGCAAACCAGTAAAGTGGTACATAAAGGCAAACCAACAAAATCAATAGAGAGAGGGGGAGTGAAGAATAAGGAGAGGGGGAACAAGTTCCTGAAGATTGCATACACCAACATAGATGGAGTGAGATCGAAGATACTGGAGTTAAGTGATGTAATACAGCTGCAGACACCAGACATTGTTGCACTCACGGAGACAAAACTTGAAGATGTAATTTTAAATGAGGTCATATTCCCAAGGGGCTACTCAATTTGGAGACGGGACAGAAAAATTAGGAAAGGCGGTGGCGTTGCTGTGCTGGTAAAAGAACACCTAAAGGTGAAGGAAATAATGACTGCCAATCCACAAGAAGTTGACATAATAGCACTAGAGATCTGCTATGAGGATGATAAACTAATGATGATAAATGCATATAGTCCACCGCCAAGCAGCACATGGTCAAAGGAGGAGCTAGATAGTAAACGTGAAGGTCTTATAACAATAATGAGAGAGATTATAGCGAGAGCGGATAACGATAGATCACGACTGTTGATAGTCGGTGACTTCAACTTGAAATCCATAGACTGGGAAGCATATGAAGCTAAAACAGAAGATTTTTGGACCTGTAAATTTGTAGACCTCATCCTGGAAACATTCTTGTATCAACATGTTAAACAAGCTACGAGGATGAGGGAAGGGGACGTTCCCTCCATGCTAGATTTGATATTTACCAGGAAGGAGGAAGAGATATTTGACATTCAGTACCTTCCTCCCTTGGGTAAAAGTGACCATGTCTTTTTGGGAATAAAGTATGCAATGCGTTATAAGCTGGAAGAAAATAAGGAGGTTGAAGCAGTTGAAAAACCAGACTTCAGGAGAGGACATTATGGTGACCTTAGAAATTTTTTTAGTGAGTATAATTGGACAGACTTGATGCTAGGCAAGGAAGTGAATGAGATGTATGGCAAGTTTTGTGAAATATATGATAAAGGCACAAAAAAATTTATACCAAAACAGAGATGCAGAACTAGGAAACAGGATTGGTTCAATAAAAATTGCGAGAGGGCTAGAGACCGAAAGACACAAAAATGGAATCAATACAGGAAGAGGCCGAACCCCCAAACATACCAGCGATACAAAGATGCGAGAAACAACTACACGGCAGTGAGGAGAGAGGCAGAAAGAAATTTTGAAAAAGGGATTGCGGACAAATGTAAAACAGAACCAGGTCTATTCTATAAATTCATAAACAACAAATTGCAGGTAAAGGATAATATTCAGAGGTTGAAAATGGGAAATAGATTCACGGAAGATGAAAAGGAAATGTGTGAAACACTAAACGAAAAGTTCCAAAGTGTGTTTGTACAAAATGAAATCTTTAGGGAACCAGATACAATAAGAATTCCAGAGAACAACATAGAACACATAGAGGTGTCTAGAGACGAAGTGGAAAAAATGCTCAAGGAGCTCGGTAAGAACAAAGCAGCTGGCCCAGATGGCGTTTCACCATGGGTTCTGAGAGAATGTGCATCTGAGCTCAGCATTCCACTTCACCTGATCTTTCAGGCATCCCTGTGTACAGGAATCATAGCAGACGGGTGGAAACAGGCTAACATAGTTCCAATCTACAAAAGTGGCAGCAGGGAAGACCCCCTCAATTATAGACCTGTATCATTGACAAGTGTAATAGTGAAAGTATTGGAAAAACTAATCAAAACTAAATGGGTAGAACACCTAGAGAGAAATGATATAATATCAGACAGAC